CACACACACACACACACACACACACACACACACACACACACACACACACAGGATGAGTCAGTCTCTTTCTTTAGACAATCAATGAAATAAAATCGTTTCTCTTCGTGTTTATTTTTCCTACCATGGCTCTGATCCGAAGCCGTACCAGGCCAGCTGAAGGATCTGGAAGCCCAAACCCAACAGAACCGTGTTTTTGTTCCCCAGGTACCTCATCAGCAGAGTGAGGAAGAGCGTCTGAGAGGAAGAGGAGCAAGAATTACTGGAATAACTCGAGAAACATGGAGCTAATTCAGATTTTAGGGACAGCAGATGGTGTTGGTTTAAACATAAAACTCATAATTACTAAACCATAGCTAAAAACTAAAATTACCAAAACTGAAGCTAAAAGCTAAAACAAGCTAAAACAAGCTAAACCATAGCTAAAAGCTAAAATAAACTACAGTAAACCATGGCTATGATCTAAATTAGCTAAACTGCAGCTGAATGTTAAACTAAGTAAGACTATGGTCCAAAGCAAAATTTAGAAAAACAAAAGCTAAAGGCTAGACTTAGCAAAACCGTAGCTAAAAGCTAAAATTTGCTAAAATATAGCTTAGCTAGCATAAAATTAGCAAAAACATAGATAATACTTGCAAATACCAAAACTGAAGCTAAAAATCTAAAATTATCAAAACTGTAGCTGAATGCTAAATTAGGAAAACCAGAACTAAAAACTAAAATTACCTAAACTGAAGCTAAAACCTAAAACAAGCTAAACCATGGCTAAGACCGAAATTAGCAAAACTGCAGCTGAATGTTAAACTAAGCAAGACTTTGGTCCAAAGCAAAATTTAGAAAAACAAATGCTAAAGGCCAGACTTAGCAAAACCACAACTAAAAGTTAAAATTAGCTAAAATATAGCTTAGCTAGCATAAAATTAGCAAAAACATAGCTAACACCTACAAATAGCTAAACTGTAGCTTCGCTAAAATTAGCAAAACCATAGGTAATACTTGCCAATACCTAAACTGAAGCTAAAAATCTAAAATTAGCGAAACCATAGCTAAGATCTAAAATTAGCAAACTGTAGCTGAATGCTAAATTAGGAAATCTGTAACTAAAAACTACAATTACCTAAACTGAAGCTAAAAATCTAATCTAAAATTAGACTTTAGACTTAGAAATCAGCTAAAATATAGCTAATAGCTGAAATTAGCTAAACTATAGCTAGGCACTACAATGAGCAAAACTATAGTTCAAAAATAAACTGAGCAAAACAAAAGCTAAATGTGAAAATGAGCAGAACCATCACTAAGAAGCTATACTTATTAAATATTTATCTCAAACCAGCTAAAAGTCAACAATAATAAAACTAAAGCTAAAACCTAAGAGCAAAATCACAACTAAAGTTAAAAACTGGTAGACCTGTAGTTAAGCTAAAATGAGCAAAATTAGCTAAAAGCAAATGCTAAACATAATAAATATCAGCGAGTCGGCAGCTAAAATGAAGGTCAGAGGTCAGGTGTTTCTTACCTGAGCTATGATGGACAAAGTTCCAACGACTCCAATAAAAACAGCGATGGTTGTTGATGAGAAGTTTATCACCTGAAGAGTAAACAGAAACAACCCAAAGAGTAAACAAAACAACCTGAGGAGTAAACAAAAACAACAAACTTTAAACTGTCTGAATCCGGCTGCAGGACGACCTGTCCAACCCTGGACTCACCTGTCTCAGGTACAGGAAGAAGCTGGAGTACTGGCCCGCCTCCGGCAGGTAGGACAGGAAGACCGTGATACAGATCAGGAGGACCGTGGAGTCCTGGCCCACCTTCCTCAGAGACTGAGAGACACATGAGGGACATCAGTCAGAGACACAAACTACATTTTAGCTAGACTTTAACTACTTTTAGCAAGCCTTTAGCTAAATTTATCCATCCCAGACTTTATCTAATCTTTAGATACATTTACCTAGTCTTTAGCTATGTTTATCTGGTCTTTAGCTACGTTTATCCAATCTTTAGCTACATTTATCCAATTTTTAGCTATATTTATCCTGTCTTGAGCTACATTTATCCAGTCTTTAGCTACATTTATCCAGTCTTTAGCTATTCATCCAATCTTTAGCTACATTTATCCAGTCTTTAGCTACATTTATCCAGTCTTTAGCTACATTTATCCAGTCTTTAGCTACATTTATCCAATCTTTAGCTACATTTATCCAGTCTTTAGCTACATTTACCTAGTCTTTAGC